AAGACAATTATTTGTACTTTTGTTGTGAGAATTTTCCAATATGAATTCTAATTTTATCTACATAGATCTGTCAATGAGCGAGACCTCTTAGTTCATTCTTTTTTCTTGTAGTCTTTTGTTGATTTGGTGATGAAATAAGGTGATAAAGAGGAGGTACTAGGGATGAAGTCTTAGCAAATGATTAGGCATCAAATGGTGTTAAATTTCATTAGTCCTATAATTTGTAAAGTATCAATGATATTGTAGCATAAGGACCTTTACTTTCTTTAGAGATTAACTATAATTATATGTAAATCTTCTAAAATCATAAATGTTTGTTTTTAGATTATTGCACTATTGATTTCTTTTATCGGTGTGTCCTATCTTTTTTCATTACCCATCATATAGCAGTAGGGATGGTTTAACTTTTTACATCTAGTATTATCTCTTAATCAAAATTCTTTTTTATTTAATTTTTGACACAAAATTGTGGTACAATGATGTGAAAAGAATGACGCGTTTGGTTTGAGAAGATGAATTCATTTGTGAATCTCGAATTCACTTGTATTGTATTAACTTTATTATAATTTTTTAAATTAGTCCTTAGGATTTAAAAGAGAGTATTTCATCATTATATTTTATCATAAGACATAAATTTAATCATTTTATGTTTAACGACAAAAAAATTAAGTAGTTTAACCATAAATTGTTAATTAAGAAGATAATATTATAGAAGACGTGATTAAAGTTAATTGTAATTTATTCTTTGATGTCATTATTGTGACTATTACATAAAAATATTTTTCAAAGTTTTATTATTTAGTTTTAATGTGCTTGGTTTCAAAGATTTATATATTTATGAATTTGAAAGTATTTTTTTATTAATAATTTTTATTAAAATGATAAAGAAAAGTTATTAAAGCAGAGAATGACCTACTAAAAGCATTATATGTTGTAAATCACAAAAATAAAAAATAAAAAAATTAAAAGCAAAGTGTTACTTTTTATTTTATTAAAATACTATTAATTCAGTATTAACCTATCTATGTAAACGCTTTGGTAGGTAAGCATAGCATCCCTTTTAAGCCAGGGTTTAGTGGTTGGTGTAAACACTAAACCATGTTTAACTGCTGGATAAGCTGAAAAGCATTGTTTTATAAATAAAAACAAAGTAAAAGAGAAGAGACTGTCTCCAATATTTTCAACAAAGTTTTACAGAGAGGTTTCGGTGTCTCTTCTTTTCTTTTTTAATTTTCGGAAAATAATTAAAAATTAATATTTTTAAATTTCTTATTAACAATTTCAATATTATTATTTTAAAAACAATTTTCTTTTTTTTTTTTTTTTGTGCCAATTCAGTAATTCTGGTTTTACCCTTTTGTCGTTTACCATAAAGATGTAGAATACCCTTTGTAATATTTTCTTAAAAGGAAAGATGCAGGGTGTGGTGTGGTGTGGTGGGGTGGGGTAATGGCATTTTAGTTATTATATGTTGTTGGATAAGGGTATATATGTCCATCCGTATAAAAGGTAAAAGTACTACATTACGACAGGGGACGAACAATCCAAATTTTCAGTTTTTTTTTTTTTTTCCTTTTAACTCAGTACATACCGTAACAAAACGCTCGGCTTTTTGTTTTTTATTCCCTTTGTTACCCTCTATGGAATAAAATTACATATGGTAAATATTTATATCCAACGTAAAAATTTTTTACTGTCATGGAAGCATTCAACTCCCAGGAAAAAAAACCCTAATCTGAACCCTAAAAGATTCCCGAAGCCTCTAGAATTTGAGAGTGATCTCACTTCCATTACTCTCCTCACCGTCTTCTCTCAACGCGGCTAATCCCTTTCTCTGATCCCCGCTGTTACCATTCTCTCCTCCGCTGTCTCCCTTCCAGCTGCTGCTCTCCGACTTCCCGTCTTCAATGCTCTCCGACCGGTCCGCGGCTCCTCTGATGTCAGATTCCGGCGAACTATGCGTCTGTGCCGAGGCTGCCTTGTACATGAGGAGCTGGTGGTGGAGCGTGGGGTGGTGTAGGGCTGGCGGTGGAGCTGCAGCCGGTGATGTTGAGGAGTAGAATTCTTGAGGGACGGGAGGTGGCGCACAGAAGTGGGTTGGCGCGTGGGGAGCTGCTGGGTGGTGGTGCGTGCCGTAGAGAGTGGGTGTTCCGCCATGTGCGGTGGCGTACTCTGGTGGGACCCAGATGCCTCCTAGAACCACTAGCTGCGGTGCTGGGGCTCCTGTGGCTTGTGGGCTCGGGCTTGGTCGCCTTGTGTGGAGGCGGTATTTCTGCTTATCATTATCATCGTATACGAAAAGGAGACAATGATGAGATTTTGTAGCAATCATTGTATTACTGGATATATATATATATATATATATATATATAAACCCTATATAAATTATATATGCATGTATTTTCAATAACCGTTTTTTGTCAGCTGATCTGAATTATTAATCATTACAGAAGTCTCTATCATCTGTATGCCATGCATATTACAATTCAAATTAATACATGTATGCATATATATATATATATACGCATATATACCTGCAGATGACTTTTGACTTCGTCATTGGTCAAGCCTTCGACCTTCATCAGCTCCCTGATCTGTTTAGGGGTTGCCACTATCACCAGGACCAGAAAAATGTCAGCTTCATAAACTATGATGAATGGTAAATTTGTATATATATATATATATATATATATATATATATGGAACTTTTGAGTTGATTTTCATGAATAGTGAATTACCTTGGGAACCACCGAGCATCTGCAGGGCATTGACAAATCGCCGGTGCAAGTCCGGCGACCAACACCTTCTTGCCTTCCGATGAGTTTGAGCAGCATTAGTAGCAGTATTATTTCCCGCTTGTGCTTCTGACGTTGAATTATTATTACAAGGTCCTTTTCCTTGTTCATTAATACCATTTCCAGCTTTCCCTGTACTTTCTCGCCTCACCATTCCACTCTCACCCATCTGATCAGAGAATTTACTATCTTGATCCATACCGTCTTTCTCTCTCGAGACAAGAGCCAACTCCGGGAGACCGGCCCGAACAGGAGTTGGTGTCGGGCACGAGTTTCGTTCTTTGGAGAAGGGAAGAAAAGCTCCGCCATTTCTCTGCTTGGTATCCAAGGCAAGCTTGGGACTGACGTTGAAGCCTATATCAGTTTCTTTAGGTGATAGTGATGATGATATTATGGTTGTCGGCTGAGGCTTGGTTTCATTTCCAGCTTGGCTCCATAGTTGAGCACTTGTCATCCAGTTTGCCTTATCAGAGATGGTGTTTAACTTTTCTGTGCTTTCAGAGCTAGGATTCTTGAGTGGTATGAACTCTTCAAGAACCGGTCTTGGACCTTGATTTGCTCTGTACGCCTGTAGTTGCTGCCTTGATGCCTCCACAGCTGAAAATCAAAAGGAACAATTGGTCACTAACATTCACTATATATATATGTCTCTGTGTGCGTATATATGTATATGAATGAAGCCCATGACTGCTTTATTGGTTTCTTTAGACCAGAATTACATAAATTGGTCGGATGGGACTCATCAGTCAAAAAAGAAAGTAATTGCGAATTAATTATGACCCTTACAGAAAGCTATCTCTTACTTCAATGAAACCCAGAAACAAATAAACTTAAAAAACTACAAAGAAAAGGGAAAAAAGGTTATAGAATTAAACATGAATATCCATCAGTATTATCAACATGTAAAGTAGCAATTTATTTTGTTATTTTTATGCCAATTTGAATCTCAATGTGCATGCTTCTGTTCTCTGCTGGCTCTCATGGGTTATAAATTCCACGCATAATAATAATATTTGTTTACTACAAACAATCCGAAGAAGATGCAAAATCATCAGGACATAAAATTCTGAGAGCTATACATATAATTTGTTAAAGGAAGAAAAAACAACTTAACATTTATGGTTGCAATGAAATTAAAAGAGAAGGATGAGATATGGAGTAATATTACCGTTGGTGAGGAGTTGCATGCAAAGAGGGAGTTCCCGCTTGAAAGCATCGATCTTGAGGCGTTCTTCCTCGAGACGAGAAAGAAATTCTTCAAGCTTTTGTGCGTGGTCAGCCGTCGTCTGGTCTCCGAAAGATTTCAGCAGCATGGAATAGCTGTGTGGTTTGCAATCCAAACTTAGTTCTGAAGGAGAAGCCATGACTATAAATCACCCTGTATAGATACTACTTATATGCTACACTCCTGTATATATATTTGGAGAGAGAAAGAAGAAGACGAGTGGCTCCGGGAGAAGAAGAAATATATACGTGGACTTTTACGTATGTGTATATATATAAATGATATAAATGATCAAGTAATGAAGAGAAGAGTAGTGTTGTTCCAAGATTTCATGCGAAGATAGGAACAGAAGAAGGGCATGCAGGAAGAAACAAGAGAAAAAGAGGGTTTCTGGCTTCTCGCTTTCTGGATTTGAGTTGAGAGGAGAAGGAGAAAGTGAAGAGATGTTGTTTCTGAACACAAGGAGGATCGTTTCTTTTTAGGGTTGAGTTCAAGGGAATAAAGTAGGTCACCCAGAGAGAGAGAGAGAAGAAAAGAAAAGAAAAAGCGAAGAGAGGTATAAAGCAGGAGAGGATGGTAACTTCTTGCAAACAACAAAGGCCACAAAAACCTTTAAATCTCTCTCCCTCTCTCTCTTTCTCTCTTTCTCTCAAGGAATCAAGGAGGTCTTACAATGGGGGGGGACATGTGGTTACAGAGACTGGTATAAAACCTTTCCTGCATTTGCATGTACCAATTTTACTTATAATTACAAATTAAAAAGATAGTTCTTCTTCTTACTATTATTTAATTATTATATATATATATATATTCATACTGTGTTATCCTTTTCTTTCTTTAATTCCCTTTTTTGTTCTCCATTGACAACTATTAATCATTTTTTTAAAAATAAATTACATTTGATTCTTCCTTAATTACTTTTACATCAAAACTTTCATTAACATTATATAATATTGGTCCTCCAAACATAGCTTAATTTTTTAATTCTCGTTAATCTTCTATTAATGGGGTATCTCCTACTCATACAACTCCCTTAATTAATTAATTAATTAATTAATTAGAGCTAATAAGATGTACATATGTTACAGACAATGAACATTAATGTATATCCCAGTAGCCAAATTTTGAAGGCTCCAAATACTGAGTGTGTGTGTGTGTGTAAGGGAGATATACTTGTAATTTTAGCTTAATAACATAATCTTTATTTCCTTTTTTGTTCGTGCGTGCCATTGTCAAAAAGATTATACTGATTCCATTGTTGATTAAGTAAAAGTGGGATCGACTCGATTATTAATATCGTTTTTTTCAAGTTACAGAATAATTAATGTATCCTCCATAGCACCAACACAAGCTGTAGATATTGGACACGTGTACGGCAAGCAGTAGTTTCAGGGGTGGCAACAATATATATTCTAATCTTGTTTAATTGGTTAAGTTAATTGATTAATTAGTGCCTATACTAATTATATACCTAAGAAATCTTTACTAGTTAAAAAATCTTTTACTCTCTCAGTAATCTTGTGGGTACTTACATTTTTTCCAAAAAAAAAAAAATCATACGTATTTTATAATTCAGTCGTTTAGTTTACCACACTCTTTATTTAAAAAAATTACCATATTCCATTTTAATTATGAATAGACTATAATGCCCGAACTAAATTACCAAAATTAACAGTCCCTTCGCTCCTACAAGTTTCTTTATTTTATTTTTTTGGTTCGAAGAAACTTCTTTTACCATGAGTTAATAATATAAGATTGAGTGTGTACCATAATAATTAACAATTACTAAATCATTAATTTATATTCCGTGACTGGTAAAATAGATAATGTGATAGTATCACCAAGACTTCAAGAATTATCCACTTGTATATATAAATATACGTGTGCGTTCATTGTTAATCAGTATCAGTGTGTGTGTGTGTGTGTATATAACCAGGATGGAAACCTGCTTTTAGGGTTTAGAAAGTAGAATAATTTGCCTAAAATTGAGTGATGGCAGAGAAAGGAGGTAGGAGAATATCTAATATTCTTTACAAGATAATTAATATATTAATTAAATTGATGAATATTAAATGAAAGAATAAAATAATTTAGAGGGTAAGAAAGGAATATCTGAGTTCCAATTCTACGACTCTAAATTAAGGGAACACAACCCCACAAAGCTTAAAGCGAAAATTAACCCTAAAGAATAATAAAGACCCTGGGAATCTTCTTCTGGGCTACCTTACTTTAATGAAGTGGCTAGGAAGGTAAGAAGATTCTCTCTCTTCTCTACACATATATAAGAGTGTGTGTGTGTGTGTGTGCGTGTATATATATATATATATAAACTAATTTGTGGGGTTTTCTTCGGTATATATCTTGCATCTCCCGGATCCGGGTCAGGTACTGAATTATACATAAGGATCAAAACAGAGACTCAGTGCTGATATCCATATAATTAATTTGGTTTCATCTTCACTCAATTTGGCCCTTAAACACTAATCCGAAGGCGTTTTAAAATATTAATTTCTACCATAATAATATTAAAGTAATTTACATCCCGGGCCAGTCACGTTGACATGCTCATATTTTTTCTTTCCAGCTCAGTGTTAACCATAATATTAGTCCATGCATTAATATATATATATATATATATATATATATGTGTGCGTTTGTGTGTTTTTGTGTCTCTATATAATATATATAGCTGCATGGAAATGGGTCATAATAAAGTGATGAGCCTGACACAGTTAAAATTAATTAAGAGGCGTGGAGATACACGTACATATATATCTATACATATATGTATACATATAGAAGGGTGATATATATAAAAGAGATGAAAAGATAAGGGCAAGAAATAGCTTTTATATGAAAGTAAAAGGGGAAAGTGGTGTGCGGACTGCATCGAATTCCCTTACCTCTTAAAAATCTTTCTCTTCGTCTTCTTCTTCTTCTTGTGGGGGTTGAGAGATGGCAATAATGATGGTTGGTCTCTTTCTAAAATCAATCTTCTGCAACAAGACTCCAACTCCCGCCTTTTTTCCAGATTCCCTCGTGACACGTGTCCTTTTATTCCCTCCTCGTGAATATCCCTTTTGTCTCCTCTCTTTACCCGAATATTCCCTTCTTCTATGTTTCCTTTTCTTTCATATATTTTAAACAACATATATTTTCTTAATATGAATTACGTATGTATATATATATATATATATATATATGTAATTGGAAAGCTACAACACTATATGTAATTCTTCTGATAATCAGGTGCTTATTCCCAAAATTTAATACATGTCGTAGTCGGGTTGGTTGAATTCTTAAAATAGAAGTTTTTGTTATTACAGGCAGTAATTTATTAATTAGTATGAAATTTTATTCTCTTCCTTTTTTGAGCCGGTCTTCCTACGTTAATTATCAAAAAGAATTCAGTAATATATGTACACACACATATATATATATACACTTTGCATGTCACGTTAGATGGGCCAAAGTTGCTCGAAGAAACAGTCTATCCTGAACTTTACTAGCCTCTCACCAGTCTTTTTATGATTAAAAAAAAAGGATCAATCACTTAATTGGACCACTACTACTAATACTCATCTTCTTCCTTTTTTTTTTTTTTTTTCTTCCTAATTTATACTATATATATGTGTGTAGCTGCTTGTAAATGTTATTATTACCATCAAAAAGCTGTATGAATCTAACCATTACAGTACATGTAACTTAAAAAGGGCTAGTGATATCTTACTCTACTATACAATTATAGGTGACAGTTTCTAAATATTGTTATAAGTAAAACAATATTTAGAAGTACATTATATCCTGAATTTTTTGGTTATTGTATATATATATATATATACTAGTACAGTAAAAATATTATTGAATATTATAATTTATGTATATACATACATATATATATAAATTATTACTCTACTGCTACTCATCTTCTTATATTATTACTCTACTAATACTCATTCTTTAATTATATATATATATAAATTTAATGTGCTATCCTGACAATAATTATATAATAGCTAGCGTACATGAGAGATATTAATATTTAGGAAATGTCCCCTCTAATTATGTAGTACTTAATCACTAAAAATTCATGTGTGGTAATTAAAATTAGTTCGTGGATATACATGCATGCATGTAATTAGTTTTCTTTGTCTTTTTTTTTTTTAAATATAGCTATATATTTATATGATACTTTATATAATGGTATGCATATATGGCTTCCACTTTTGACATGAGAAGTCTTCAAGGGAAATTTTGACATTTTCCAATGGAAGTTAAAAGGGAAAACTAAACTGTAACATTATATGTCTATATAAATTGATATATATCCAATTTATATTTGTATTTGTATTTGTATTTGTATTTGTATTTGTATGTGTATGTGTGTGTAAGGCCTATACAATCATATATATATATACATATATATATTCGATTATAAATAGCAATTTACATATAAATTGGATATGTAGCAATTCTAACTGTATTAAATTGTAATGTTCAATAATTTTTTAATTCAAGTAATCAATAAAAATTAGAATTATATAGATTACGTAATTTTAAATTAAACATGTATTATTATTATTATATATAGAGAGAGAGAGAGAGAGACACTTGTCTATGCATATAAGTTTTTGGCATTATTATCTGATATGTCCCTTTGTATTTATAATTCTGAAGATATCACTAGCTACTACATAATTAATTATTAATGACATATTGATCCAACTGTCTAACTTGTACATGTAATTACCAACTACGTGTGTGTGTATGTGTATATATATATATATATATATATATATATACATACACATATATGTCTGTGAATTAATTTTTAATTAAGTAATCTATAGATAAAGTGATATTCTCTTATTAAATACATTTATATCCATGTATACTGATTTTCTATTTAATAAGAGATATTAATTAATTGACTTTTGTTTTTTAACTTCCAAAGAAGAAGAAAACTAATTGTATACATATTGGGCATGTATAGAGAGTTTTTATTACCGCTCTAATATTTTCTATTGCCACTTTTCTTTTGTTTTAAAAAAGATTCAGTAAAAATAGTTTTTATTAATTTAATGTACTATCCTGGATTTTTTTTTTTGGGTTATGAGATATATATATATATATATATATATATATGCTGATATATTATTTTTTTGGTGCAATGTTCAATATACTAATGCTAGTTTTCTAGTTAGTAAGAATATATATATATATATTTATTGTGCATTCCAAGTGTAATGCTTATGCAATAATTTGCTTATGCATAATGTAAATAGAGTTTTTATGGGTATAATTCATGCATGTGTCCTTTTTCCATCCAATCTTTCTGAAAGCATTTCTAGTTCTGCTTATATTTATGAAGTATATATACACTATATTGTTCTGAGATAAGCGTCAAGCATCTGAATTAAATTCAGATAATATCTTATATTATTACATTCATTCAACAGGTAGTTTGTGTAACACCCAAAACCCTTTTTTTTTTAATTTTTATTTTATTTTAATTTTTATTAGAATTTTATTTAATTTTATTCTATTTTAATAATTAATTTATAAGGTTTTAATTTAATTTAATTTAAGTTAATTTAATATAAATAAAAATAATAATAATAATAAAATATGATAAAATTATTTTTAGAATTTAATTAAAATTGAATTTGGAGAAAAATGGGTGAAAATTTGGATTCTGATGGTGT